TTTTTTTTTTTTTTTTATCAGACTCGGTGAAAACACTCTTCTAATAGCCCCATGTCGTGGCCTTTTGTACTGTCCTACAGAGTGTTTGTTAATAAACTGCTGGAGAAGCTCCTACTTATTTATCACAGCGACAGAGATCATTAAGTGGCTGTAATACTCTCTCTGCTTTTTGTAGCGACCTTTCAGGCAAAAAGCATTTAAATCTCCCCTCCCCTGGCTGATGCTGCTCTTATCTTTGCTACAGATTTTCGGGGCAGATAATTTCCTTCTTTTCCTCGCCAGTTCCTTGACAGGAGCCGTTTCATTTATGTAAATCAGCTGACTGCTCTCTGAAGGAAAACGATGGTGAAATATTTTTAGAAGACTTTTTCTTCGTGCGAAATAAAAGCTGAAGGTCACAGATTTTTTATCTCTGTAACTTTGTGTCCCCAGCTGCGGGGACTCCTGCATGCTTTTTGTAGGTCTGCGAACCTTTTGGTCAGCAGTTCTGCCAAGCAGTGTAGGAAGGAGAGAGGATTTTGATTCAATTGCAGCTTGACCCGGGGGTTCACACAGCCTTATATGCCTTTGCACCTTTAATTCAATTATGGCACAGCCTGCTTCTTAATATAGCCGCTGCATACAAGTCATCGGGAGCTTGAGCTCAGCGCAGAAAGCTGATGTGAAATGACTTGTATTGCTTGTTCTCTTTATGCTTTTTGCCACAGTATTATAGTGACAAACGATGATAACTTTTCCTTGGGAAGCCATGACACGGTGAGACATACACCACCCACATGATTTTATGTTTAACTCCAACAAAATTACAGTAGAAGCTTAATAAGTTTCTGCTCAGAGATAATGATATATTAGCAAAGTTCAAAGATAAATGGCCTTGTGTTTAAAGGATGTACAGAAGACTCTTTTTAAATTATCTTTAAAATATTTTTTTAAGTTTCTTAGTGTAGTATTGTACAGCTTTGCACCCGTTAGGACAGGCAGACGCGCAGTGCCAGATTATAGCATTTTCCTTCCAAGCCTTGTGTTTTGATGAAAAACCAGAGGGATCACCAGGGTCAATTAGAGTTTTGCACACTCCCAAGAAATCACTAGAAATCCACTAAAAGCAAACACCTTGCACTTCCATCCCGTTCTCCTGTATCTAAAGCTCTCTCTTGTGCTTTTCATGGTGGTGTATCAGCACCTGTGATCCTATCCCATACATTTTTCTTTCCACGCCTACTAAGAAAAGCAAAGCACAGAATTTTAGTCTTTTCTTAAGAGAGAAGAATTACATTAGCTGCTGGAGTCTTTTTCACTGGTTTCCGTAATGCTATCTCTACATGTGCAAAGCAACTTTGTACCTACAGATCACTTACAAATGAAATTATATTAGCAACAACACATTAGCAACAGCACATGCCTTGAAAGGCTTTACTGAAACTAATAACAGAGGCAGTAGTACTCATGTCAGGACTGAGACAACCTCCAGTTCCTCTTCCCTTAAATTTAATGACATGCTAACCATTTGTTGAACCACCATTTCATAGCAATTAGAAAAGGGAAGACAGAAAGCTAGAGAACATACCTACAGGTTTTTTACGTGCTGGACAAATGCAGGAGTTTCTTTGGACCATAAGCATTTGCCTTAGATGTTGAGTGTTTTGAGAGTTTTGAATGAGAAAGGCTATATCATACTCAAAAATACAAAGTCTGTGTAGAATAAATAACATCTAGAGAGCAGTATGTAATTGTATTGTTCATACTGACAAAAAAGGGGTGGTGGAACTCAAGGGAAAATATTACGATCCAAACTGTGCTGTTGTGGAGCTTCAGCTGATGCTTAGACTTTCCTGGGAAGACAGCAGAGACATCATCCAGGTTCAGGGCAGAAAAACTAGTCCAGAGCTTAGAGAAAGACATATCATTTCAATATAGGGATTGCAGTTGAACTGGTGATATAAATGTATCCAAAGGTTGCAAGGGAGGAAGAGAAGAACAGCTAAGGACAAGCCTAAACTGCACACAAAATTTGGACATTTTCATTTTGTAATTGCATGGCACAGATAAAGGTGTGAGAAACTTTTGCACACAAGACCCTCACAACCTGAAACCTGCTGTTGGAGAAAGTGAAGCCTGTGATCCTCCCAGAAGCTTTGTCTAGCCAAGGCAAATGTTGCTCTGTGTTTCCTCCCTCTGCACAGAAGCAGTGTTACTCTGGGCCCTCCGCTGCTAGCTATCACACAGGCTATTTTGAGAAATCCCAGATTTATAGGAGAAATGTTTTCAAGAAGACATGAAATTTTGCTAATGGCAGCATAAAGTAACATAATGCTATGACTCAGTTTACAGGATACCTTTATTAGTCAATATTAATTGTTGACAGTATTGATAGAAGTTATAGCCTTTAGCTGAAGTCAATATGGAGCTTTATGAACCTGCCATCAATAGAAGATTTTATGGAGCCCATTAAACCAACTTTTCCAATGAAGGTTAACATCAGCAATTTTTATGCTGTTCATTATTTATCCAAAATAAATAATCAGAATTTACTTGTGATGTTTGTAAATCCAAAGCTGTCGAAGCACGATTCTATCGAGACATTTATTGTGTTCTTAGAAAATGAGAGGTCTGGCTCCCTCAAAAAGCAGGTTTGCTTTTATTTCAGAAGTGGTGATGCCTTGAAGGAACAGATACACTTCTCAGTAAGTGCAGCCACAATCCACTCCTCTGTCTTTAAGGGAACCGATGAAGTGCTCTGGTTCCATGGCATATTACAGTCCATAAATCACTTGCACAGGCAGCTGGCATGAAAAGCCATGCGTTGCTTTATCTAAACTGTTCCCAGGCTTTCCAGGAGGTTGAATACTTTTACTAGGTTAAGAGTTTGTTTTCACTGAAGAGTTAGCTTGAACTCTGGCATTGCCCTGAGTTCAGACCCTTCACACTCAAACAGCCCCAAAGTCTTCTCCTCCGTTGAGCAGTGCTTTTCGCTCAACCTGGATGGTCACTTTGCAGAGCAAGGGGACAGAGGGGACCGCACAAGTTACTGCACCTTCTCCAGGGATAATGCAATCACTCTGTGCTGTTAATGTAGCAAGCACTTCATGTAGCTCAAGGGTTAGCCTGCAGTGTGACCATCTAGGCTAAGCTGGAAATGTGAATTCACACTAACAGTTCAGACCCGTGCACAGGGAGGAGTGTCGTTCCTGGAAGTCTAGCAATGAAGTTAGGAGAACCTCTTTCCTATACTAATTCGCACTGTTTCTCAGCAAGACAGATTGAAGCAAAAGAAGTTCCTGAAGTAGTCATTTGGATCTGAGCCTGGAGTTAACTGGCATTATCTTAGGTAACCCTGAACAGGCTTTGTACTGAGCCAGCAATTGTTTAATATAGAGAAGAGCACAATGAAGGAGAACAAGGTAATAGTCTTCCAGAAATTGACTTATTTTGCAGCAATTCAGTCACATACTAAAAGCAAAATACTTCTAAGCATAAAGACATTTTCATAAAAATACAGTACGACAGAATAATTTATGTTGGAAGGCATCACTGAAGGTCTCTGGTCCAGTTTCCTGCTTAAAGCAGGGCTAACTTTGAGGTCCCATTAGTGTCCTCAGCTACACCTTGAGCATCTCCCAGGATGGAGGGGCCACAGCCTCTATGCCCTGGTTCTGGTGCTGACCACACTCGCTATGAACAACTCTTCTTCTAAGAGCTAGTCAGAACTTCTACTGCCGCAACTTGTGTCCATTGCCTCCTGTCCACTCACCAAGCATCCCCAGGAACAGTGTGACTCCATCTTCTGTATATCCCCACACCTAAAATAGTTAAAAGACAGCAGCTAGATCTCCCTTTAGCCTCTCTTCTCTGAGCTGAACAAAGCCACCTAGATCCTCCTCTTGTAGGTAGTTAGGCACTGGAAGAAATGGTCAGAGGAGTCTGGGGAACTCCAACATTAAAAGTTTTTAAGTGTAAACTAGACAAATAGCTGCTGAGAACGGTCTATATTGGATGCCGCCTCAGTCAGAATGGCTGTAGATGCTGGCCTCTTGAGCATCCCTCTTTCTCCAGCTTCAATAGTTTGTAGCATTGTTGATCTTTCTTTGACTTCAGGGGCATGCAGGACTGTTCAGACTGGACGCTGAGGACCTCAGGCTTTTGAACTGCCTAGAGCACTCCTAACAGACGTAGAGATGGACAGTGTTTGTGTGGAAGCAGCCATGAAACAGGCTCTGAATATTTCCTTTGAGTCTATAAGGGAGATCTTACCACAGACCTGCCCAAACTGTTATGAATCATGCTGGTAGTCCCCAGATAGATCTGAACATGAGACATGGGCAGAAAATGTAGATATTCCCATACAGAATCCCTTCCCACAAAATAGAACCATTTTTTTCTTTGCTTTCAATGTGATAAAGAGCTTACTGGTTTATTCAGCACAGTCACTGCAGGGTTACTTTAGACCTGGGCCAACAGCATTTTTAAAATTTGTCTTTGTGAAAGTGGAGTTCCAGCCCTTTTCTAAAAAAAAACTAAGTACAGTTTAACTTTCGGCTATTCCAAATAAGATGAGGCAAACTAAGGATTCACTTTAGTTTTAATCTGGGCTTAGTGTTAATATCCACCAAGGGACGTAGTTGGTTAAATATGAGCGGGAGCAGTAGAGAGGGGGAGCGGTTTTCTTCGTTAGCAGGCCAAGTCAGCAGTGATTAATGTTGTGTACATGTGCGGAGTGGAGCTGATGTTTCTCTCTGTCGTCATCTCCTCTTGGGAAG